GATGAATTCGACTCTTTCTTAGATCCTGGTATCGCTGGAACACCACATCATACCACCACTGAGCCCCTCTGAAGGCAACAGCTTCACTTCATAACTTACCAAACGAGAGAGAAATACTCAATCTGTAATGTTTACAACCAGCACTAAATAAGGAGGCAGAACACGGGGAACCACTATTCTGCTTCTCATGGTCTTATGTTCAAAGGGCTTGTGAATAGAGCTTCACTGCTAATTACCGAAGGGAAAAAGCACTAATATGCAACGGCACATTGTTTAGATATGCAATCTTGCTACAAAGAACATGACACAGACATGTTTGACATTTTCAGCAGAGCTTTTAATGTGCATGAAACCTTATTTCACTTTCTGTGTAAAATCTCTGTGCCAATTTTGTTGGAGATGAAGGTTCGAATCTGGCTTTTTGTGTACTGATAACGCTGATGTGAAAAACTGCACATAACCAAAAACAAAACCACTGATTTTTAAATATCTTGTTTACATATTGCTTTATTAGAGACTTGTTTTAAATTATGTAAAAGGATACTTTTATGATGAAGTTTCATACGCTAGTGTTCTTGAGCGTTATTGGCCCTGCTCAAGGTCGAGACTGGAACAGCTGGCTCTGATATGTGTAGTAATGTTTTTTTAGTGGATTGGTCAACAGTTTACAGTTCTCAATATATTTTCGGCATACCTAGTTTTGTGTTTCTGGACATTTCTGAGGATTTCTGGCAGGGAAAAAGTTTTATATGCCTGGCGCGGAATGTGTGCAGTTCACACTAATTTTATGCAACATTGTCCAAAGCATTTGAAGTTCCTTGAGTTTCACATTTTAGCTTTTATGTATGATTAATAATATTATCTAGATATTGTTTGTTTGTTTGTTTGGTTGTTCTTTGCTTTTAAAAAAAAAAATTTGAATAACACTTGTATATTTCTGTTTCACTGTTTGACTGTTATTAAAATTTGCACTTAAATTTGTTTCTTATTTTACCACAATATAGTGTATAGTTTCTAGTTTATAACTTTTGAGGTTGTGCTCCCAATACTTTTGAGAACAATTATGGTCATAAAATCATAATTATGAAAAAAGTCATAATTTTAAGACAGAAGTAGAAATTATGCAATAGTGTAATTTACTAAGTATAAAGATGAAATGATAAGAAATCATAATTATGACAAAAAAAATATTTTTTTTTTTGTAATTAGTATCTCAACAATTTCAACTTTTCATCATCATTTTGGCTTTTTTCAACACAATTTTCTAACAAAACAAAAAATATGATGGTAACACCTCCAAAAGTCAATAACTTCACCTAAGTGTCTTGAAGAACTGAATGCTACTAAACAATGATTTACTGCGACCTTAATTCGCCAAAATATTATTATCTAAAAACATTAGTAAACAAAACATCAGATCCTTAGACAAACCATAAATCCGTCACATGCAACCTAAGAATAAACATTCACAGTTTAACAGAGGTGAAGGGACACTTCAAGAATAACGATAAATACAAAAATGACAAAGTAGAACTTATGGCAATAGCCTATATTTTCTTAATAATCAATTTTGATTTCACAAGAAGACATGTACCCTGCAAAATATTTTTGTCTGTTTGCAACACAAAGCTACAGTTTCACTTCAGAAGATGTAGAATTAGTGCATTAGTTTTATGAACCACTTCTATGGTACCTACTTTTAAAGCTTGAAAATGTCTTATTTTATGTTCCGCATGGTTTGGAAAGACATACAAGGGACTAAAGTGTCATTTTTCTTCTAGAAACGAGTGTCTATCCTGCTTGTTCCGGAAACAGGTGTTACTTAAAGGGATAGTTCACCCAAAAATGAAAATGTGATGTTTATCTTCTTACCCCCAGGGCATCCAAGATGTAGGTGACTTTGTTTCTTCAGTAGAACACAAACTAAGATTTTTAACTCAAACCGTTGCAGTCTGTCAGTCTTATAATGGAAGTGAATGGGAATCACGGCTTTGAGAGTCAAAAAAACATACACAAACAAAACCAAATTAAACCCTGCGGCTCGTGACGATACATTGATGTGTAAAGACACGAAACAATCAGTCTGTACAAGTCTGCGATCCGCCGTAAAGCAAGAAGAAGAAGAAGACGCGTCACGCGCCGGCTGTTGAGAACACGCTCAGGACGCGCTCAGAACAGTTCAGACATTGCAGTGCATCAGAGATAAAAAACGATATAAATACTGTTCAGTTTCTTGCACA